AGAGAGAGAAGGGGGGGGGGTCAAAACATGGGGGCACATAGAACTCACAAACTGCCATAACAAGAAAGAACAGTGGCCGACGTCCGTGAGCACGAGTGTTGGTACCGGCGTCATGCTTCCAGAGAAACGTTTCTGTTCTCATGTCTGTTTCTCAACAAGAGCCCCAGTCTTGTTGGATGTTATGACACTGAACTAACTTGGTTGACTAGCAGAGAATTTATTTGTTTGTAAGATTTCTTTTTCCCTGTCGGGTGTATTTTTCTCAACGTTTATTTCTTATGATTTAATTTGATGTTGTTGCCAAGGGAAGTAATATAGCCCACGAGAGCGTATCTCTGTTTCTGTAGATTATTTCCCTTCTGTGGAAATGGTCTTGTACAATGTTGGAGTTTCCTTGCCGTTTTGTATTCTCTTTCTGTTGGAGCAAGATAATAACATCTGCCTCAGTTGTGTGGGTTTTTTTTTACCCTCTGTCTGTTTCATTCTCTCTCTCTCTCTCTCTCTCTCTCTCTCTCTCTCTCTGTGTGTGTGTGTGTGTATATGTATATATATTTATTTATTTATTTATTCAATCTCCAACCCCTCCCTGCGTATTAAAAGATGAGACATATGCTGGAATGATGCTTAGCCGGCTTCTATGTGGGTGATTCAAAGTTAACGGCGCGTGGTTAGAACCTGTTTTCACATCGAAATTGTACTGGGGTGTATCCGTGCGAGTCGAGTTACCTTGACATGGCTATATGTGGCACGACGCGGTGGAATCAGGCGCTCGTCAATATTTTGGGCAGGCATGTGGAGTTATGGGTATCATCTTAAACCCTGTGTATTTGCCTTGCTTTTGGTGGCAATAGTATCCATTTATCTTGGATACAAGTGAAGATATTGGCGATTGAAGGAGGTGGGAGTTGCCTAGTTTCAGAGGTAACGTTGGCGAGAAAATGGCCTCCAAAGTTTGATTATTTCCATGGCTGCTTGATAGTCCGTGGAAACTGAAAACTTACATTATCTGTGCCTTCAATCAATGTTTTTCAGTCAAATCCACCCAGAAGTGTGTTCTTAATTGGACAACAATGGTGTTAAGCAACCAAAAAACCCCCCCGAAAATTCGATACAAATTGCTAACATGGCAGAAAAATGCTGGTTTGTTCAATTTCACTATCTTGACGAGCGCCTGATTTCACCACGCTGCCTGACATATTTTGAGCTGTTTAGCGTCACAGGTCATGCGCAGTGCAAGAGGAGGAATCCAAATATTCAAATAACGTTCTTCTGCGAGAGAGCACTCTCTGCTT